TAATTGATTTACTTTTTCTTCAATAGTTACCATTTTTCAGGATTTATATGATGTTTATTCAAAAAAAGGCTTTTCGGAGTAAGTTACATTAATATAATCTTGATCCAAACTTTAATATAAATTTTGGTATAACAACTATTATATATATTTATTTTTCCAAACTATAATACCTAAAAAAAGGAAATCAAAGAAGATTCAGCATTTTTAGGTATAAAACTCCTACAAAATTCAGATTCAGCGCCATTTAGCGCAAATCTATGTCTAAGTAAAAAGTTAATTTAAGTAAATTTGGTAATAATTTTTTTTTGTGATTAGCTTTGTAATGAATATTTCTACGGTTAATATTATTATTATCTTTTTTTATTAATGTTTTATTTTTAATTTATTGCAATCATTTTTACAATCCAAGAATATACAGCTTTGCTTGCCATCTCGACTGTATTTCACACAAAAAAGTTGCATTTTTCTTATTGAACGATAAAACCTATTGAACAACCTGATATATGTGTTATATATAGAAATAAGGCATTTACTTAAAATATTTAAAAATTCAATACCCTTACATTTGGGGTTGGGGTTCCATGCATTTTGGGGTCTTTTATTCTAAGGCTCTGATTACGGCAATTTTTTGCAAAACATTTTTGTTTAAGATGGCAGGAAGTAAAAAAAGCTACTTTCTGAAATATGTCATTGTAACTCTTTTCAGTTTACTAAAACTGTTATTAGAAATTTGCATAAAAAAACCTTTTATTTTTTAAACAGAAAACCCATAATGACGTAAAATGTGTTAAATTTGAGCGTAAAAAAAGACCCTTTTGAAACATTACTTTAAAAAACAAAAGCAAAATTAGAAACCCTTTACAATTTTGTATTATATAATACAATATAATATAATAATATATATTATATTACACTCCGGATGACCGGAGTATAATATAATATAATACAAAATTGTGAAACCATTTTACTCTAAGTATTATTGAACTTTTTGTGAAAATAGCACTGTTTTCAAACAAAAGTTGATACGATTTGCACCTAAACTGGATTTTCTCAAGATATTCAGTGTTTTATGTAAAATCTAAGGGTATCCGGAAGAGTAAATCAACATGAACATAGTTTCAAAATTTCAAGCCAAATGCTTAGTTCTATTTTGAGTGACCATGTTTTGAATTATGGCAAGTATGCAAAAAAATAAAAAACAGAGAAAAATGCAAAACAAAAAATAAAATGAACAAAAAATAAGTTATCTACTCAATAAGCATTAGTTTAATATGAATCAACTAATTCTTTTTCATTCATCACATTTTTTCATTTCATCACAAAATCCTTTTTTTTCTAGCAAAATCTTTTCTACGTTTTTTTTTTTTGTCTGTGAACTTCTTTTAGTTTTGCTTAATACGCAAATTATATAAATTTGTTGCCATAGCTTTTCAAATTTCTTATTTCAAACCAGTATTCTAAAACCTTCAATATTTTTTTTCATACATTAAAAGGGTGAATAATAACTATTTTACTCCCATTTCTATGGTTTTCCTGCTAAAAAATTTCCCCGCTGAAAAATTTCACTGCTGAAAAAGAGGTTTTCGTAACCTTTACTATTCATTTGTGTTCTGGTTTTTTTCATGGAAACATTTAAAAAATTTTAAGAAGACACCAATTTTTCTTATCACTGAGCCCCATTATGGCTACTTTACAGGTCCTTTTTACAATAAAATTGTGATAAATGCTTTTCATAAAATATATATAACACGTATATTAAACTGTTCAAATGTATTTGGGGGAAAAACCTCCGCATATAATGTCCGTAACGTTGGACTGAGTATGATTTTACTTTTAATGTAAACTTTGGGGTGACAAAGTTGTTATATGAGAACCTATTAGGGTATTTATGACTTTTTTCGCTAAAATGGTTCAAATATGAGTGGAGATCCATATTTTATTTTGTACTTAAAATGTAAAACAAGATGTATGTTAATTTTGTATACATTTAAAGCTTCAAGTTTGCATAAGAGAGGTTTACAAGAGTTTTTTTCACTTATTCCAAAGACAATTCTAAGGCATGTCTTTGTTTACTGTAGAGTTTTTTAAGCTTAGTATAATTTGTGCTTGCCCATGCCGTGTTACTATAACTTAGGTGATTACGTATTAATGAAAAATATAAACTTTTTAAGAGCATGATATTTAGGAAAGGTTTTGCTTTATATATTAAAGAAATATTTCTTGAGAGTTTTCTCTCTAAAGTGTTTATATGGAGCTTCCACGATAAATTCATACAAGACCACACCTAGAAAGGTAAAAAAAAAATTCTCTTTTTATATTAGTATTATTTATTTTTAGATAGGGTAGTTTAAGAGGAGTATTTTCATTTTTATTTAGTTTATGAAATACGACGAATTTAGTCTTTTTGACGTTCAAAGAGAGTTTGTTACAACTGAACCATTTTTTTACTTTATGTAATTCTGTGTTAAGTATGTTAAAAAGTACCTTAATGTCTCTATGTGAATAAACAAATTGGAGTCATCCGCAAATAAGATTAAATAAAATAAGTTTAATGTTGAATATAAATCATTTATATAGAGTAAAAATAATAACGATCTTAAGATCGAGCCTTGAGGAACCCCGCAAGTTATGGTGTTTTCTGTTGTTTTTATTGTTTTATACTGAATGTATTGCTTTCTGTTTGATAAATAATCTTTAAACCAAAGTAAATTATTATTTTTTACTCCATACAGTTCATGTTTTTTTAAAAGAGTGTCGTGGTTTAAGTAGTTAAAAGCTTTAGAAATGTTAAAACTGATATAGGTCTATGATTAATAGTATCAAAATTATCTCCACATTTGTAAATAGGGGTGACTCGGGCAATTTTTAGTTTATCTGAGACAATACCTTATTTCAGTGAAAGATCGAAAATGTGGTTCAATGATGGTTCAATGGTATCATTAAATCCTTAAAAATTGGTAGAAGTAGACGCTTTATCCAAAATAAAAATGTATTGGAGGGTTTGTAATCATTTTGGCCGTTGGACCAGTACTTGCACCAACTATTAATATATCGAGTGCAAAATTTATTACGCTCAAGCGGAATATTTTTGTTCAAAAAAAAGTTTTTTTTCTCACTTTTTAACAAGGAGGTATAATAGTTTATTACACCTGCTTGTTTTTGTGTTTTTTATATTCTTATTTTTATTATTATCTTTTTGAGCTTTATCATTAATATCTTCATTTAAACTTGAAAACGTTCTCTAAAGAATAAGTTTTTGTAAATAAGATAAAGTATAAAATATACGACAGAGCTATATCAACTTTTCAGCTTATTTATCTGTCTAAGTAATATGTCACTTTAAAGTATGATATTTAGACCACTGAACACATAACTGCTACACCTTTTTATGCTCAGAGTATGAACACCTTTTTGTGCTCAGAGAACGCTCTGAGTAAAATATAAAAATACATATGAAAGAAAAATAGAGAATAAACTTTAGTTTATGGTAACTATGAACGTTGATATGGTTGCTACCTAAGAGTGTTTTAAGGTCTATATATGAACCAAAAAATATTTTTTGTCATTTATCGCATGAAATAGACATATCAAAGGAAGAAATTCCACCATTAAAAAAAAAAAAATTATTAATTTTGGGTCATTTTTTACATCCCTACCACCTTAAGATGAGCGTAAACCAACATAAATTAGTAGTTTTCACAGTGCCTGAAATCGCCATATTTGCTAATTTCAGTATTTGAAATCGCCATATAAGAAAAAAATTTTGCGCCGTAACTGCAAATCAATAAATATTCCAATAAATATGTAAACTGTTTTTTCAAAGCAATTGGTTATTTGATCAACTTTCTACATAATACTGGAGCAAGTTGATCAAATGTTTTGAACAAAAAAGTTTTTGTAAAACATAATTAGATGGACGAGTCAAAATATTTTTACCATGGTATCCTATTAAAATTCAAGTAAATTGGAGTGTTTAGTAACTACTTTTAGGCATACTAAACTCTGGATTTCGGAATATTAAAATGAATTATTAATTTTATTTTTGACTCAGACTCATGATGAAATTAGATCTCGTATCGATGACAATCGAGTCTTACATAATGAAATTAAATCCTGTACGTACAGGGTGGCCACACTTTTTTTGAGTTAAAAACTTAGAAAAATTTAGGAGACTTAAAGGACTTTTTAGGAGATTTTACCGTGAAACTTGGAAATACGAATAAAAAAATAAAGATTTATTTGGAGGATTTTAATTTTTTTTTTAACAAAATTTAAATATTATTCAAAAATTTGAATAAAAAATTTAAAAGTTTAAGTTGAATGTTTAAGTGAAAACTTAAAGTCCAAAAAACAATTATGAGATTTTTAAAATTCAAGTATCATTTAAAAATTTTTAGGCCTTTTTAAGAGATTTTCCAAATATTAGGATATTTTACAATTTATTAGGAGGCGTGGCCTCCTAATAAATTCTAAAATTGTATGTATAATTAAATTTTGTTAGTATGATTGAGTGAAACGTTCACTTATATAATGAAATTAAAACTTTTATGCATGATAAAGTCTTATAAGATGAAATTAAATCTTGAATGTATGATGGAATATTTTCTTATATTATATTACAGTCATATTTCAGCCTATTAATCTCTGTGACAAGTAAGTCATATTTCAGCCTATTAACTTCTGTGACAAGTAACTTTATTTACAAAAAGTTGTGAAATAAAATCTAAACAATTGATTTTTACTATTCTTGATTAGATTTTTTTTTACATAAGTAAAATTGATGCGAACAGACAGCTCATTTAATGTGTACAGAAGCCTTTAAGGGGGACAGATCCCAAATCAGTTATATACTACGTACATACTTTGAGAACGCCACTAAGATAGAAAACCTTTTTTCAAATCTTGTATAAAAAATGCATTTATAGAGACATTCTTATGACTTTTTTTTGTTAAAAACCATATTAAAAAAATATATTCATATATTCATTTAATTTATTTGATACAAATTTTTAATAAAAATCAATATATATAAAAAAAATAACAATCATTTTAAAAATAAAGACTTCAGTAAAGTTAATGACACCCATTATGAAGTAAAGATGCTATATAAATTTCACAAAGATTTTACGAGTATAACGTTATGTTATTATTGTCTGTAGCGAGTAAAAATAGTTTATTCATTGGCAAAACAGACATTTTTATAAGAGATCCTTTGAAAGTAACTCGATGTGTGGAATAAATCGACTAAATAATTTTAAGTTTCCTATCAAAAAAGTATTAAAATAAAAAAAAAAGAAGATAAAAAACAAAAAAAAAACATACCATTTTATCGGGATTGTGAATATTGATTTTATTGTTGGTAGTTCCCCAAAGTAGCTGCCGGTTGCAGTAAATAACGCTGTGAATGAAATCATTTTGGGCTAAAAATGTATAAAATAGTCAATACATAAAATCGCAAGTTCTGCACACCCAGGTATTACTTAAGGTAAAAAAATAAATAATCAAAGCGATAAAAACACTCTAAGTAAACAGGAATGTAAATTTATATAATAATAAAAAGTATGATGTACTTTTGCGATTATTTATAAATTATTATTAGAGCTAGTTCTAAAAAAGGTTCCCGTACCCAACGACACCCAACGACATAGTAGGTGTCATATCTTACCAAAAACATTTTTCTCCCAAAGCATATCATGTTGGGCTTCAAAAGAAGTGAAACTTTATAGAGATTTTATTAAAAAAAATCTTTTTTAAATGTAAACTTTTTCAGAAAGATATTGTTTAAAAACGTTTTAAAATGTGCCTAATTTCAATTTTTGTTTAAAAGTGTTGGTTTTTTTACAATAAATTTAAATTTAAAAGTTATTTTTTGTTTAAAAGCTTTATACTTTTGAAAACTTCTATGAAATTAAGCTTATTTTGAGACCCAACTTGATATACTTTTAATGAGAAATATTTTTGGTATTATATGGCAACAACCATGTCATTGGGTATTTTGGTACTGGAACTTTTTTATGAAACGAACAAAATAAATGTGATTTTCTTAATTAGTATTGAAATGTTCAATTATTATTATTACAGGCCAAAAAATTATTTTTTTGTCATAACCCTAATGAACACTCAAATGCACCGATCTCTAATTAATTCAGTTGATGAATGTCACTATAAATATATTTAAAGAAGTACAATTAATAATATATATTTATGTATAAAGTATTAACTTAAACTATTAACAAAAAGTTAGTTTATTGCATGCAATAAACTAACTTTTTATATATAACCAAAAATTTTTGTTCTTGCATACAAGAGCAAAGATAAAAACCAGGCTATGTAATTTATGTTATGTAATTTATGTTATGTAATTTTCTATGTAATTTATGTTATGTAATTTTCAATCTTTTTCTGTTTTTTTTTTTAAATTTTTTTATTTGACTGTTTCAGTTTTTTTTTAGAATTTTGAGACTCAAAGGTAAAACATTTTTTCATAATTCCTGTAAATGATTAATAACAATCACCGTGATTGTTATAATAACACTGACTGACTCATTGTCAGAGACAATGTTTTTGTCTCATAATAACACTGACTCATAATAACACTCACTGCCTTATAATCTGATAAACATTGTCAAAGGCAATTTTTTGTTGCAGTTTGAAAATTGATTCACATTTTTTTAAATTTTTCGTCAAAAAACAATATTATTTTTGTTACTACTTTTTTTACAAATTACACAAATTAATACTTATCCCAAGATGATACTATATTATCAAAACAACATATCAAAACTTGTAACTTTTTTACCTGCTCTATAAATAGTAAAGATTAAATAGTCAGTATAATATGTGTATCGGGTTAAAGCAAAAAGATGTTAATTCAAATTTTTTCCAAATTCTATTTTTTTAATTAAACAAGTTGGTTTTTTATTTTAATTTTAAGTTTAATTTTAAGGGTTCTCAGGGTTTTTCGAGTTTCTACATTCCTAATTTTTTTCACAAAATCTTTATTAATAATTCAGTCTATTTTATATTCATATAAAGATTGTAATACAGAGCATAAAAAAATAAAATAAAAATTTAAATTCAGCAGATTCATCTTTGAGTTTCAGTGATGATTGCTATTATTCTTTAATAAGCTAAGAATTTAATAATCACAAGCTTAGCCTGGTCAAATTGGCCTGGTGTTCTTTATCTTTATCCTTCTTCTAAAGACTGCACTCTTTTTGATGTTGTTACTGATCTAGTTGACCAAGCCTTATCTTTTTGTTTATATATGATTCTGTTCTGAGATTTCTAAATCTTATATTTTATATTAAGTTAGGTTTTAAATATTTAATAAGATAGGTTCTAAAGACATCAACAAAGGTAAGTGTAACATTTCTATAACAGGGTTGCCACTGTAATACTGGAATCAAATTCATAATATTTTATTAGCAAGCAAGCTTGTATGAGTCTGATATTATTATCTCTCTAAAAAACATCTATTTACAAATAACTCGCCCTTTAATTTATCTCTTGATTGACAACAATCTTGCTGACATTCTAACCACTTCAGCTTATGAAGTCAATTATTTCTCACTTAACTATAGCTTGTTGTCTAAGCAACACAATTGTCACAGCCTCCCAAAAGTGTTCTCTAAATCTTTCTTTAATACTCTGTAAACCAGCGGTTCTTAACCTTTTTGTAGTCACAATCCACTTTCAAAATTTTAGCAATCTTATTGACCTCTTCCAAGCCTTGTAGTAAATGTATTAGGAAAAAAAAAACATCATAACAATCAACTTTATTTATTAGTATCAAGAAAATTTATCGCATATCAATTGTTTAATGAGATGGTTGCTGCTGTTTCTTTTCAATAAGCACACTAAATTGAGGAATTGTCTTAGACAATGCAAGATGCATATCATCTTTGATATCTATTCAGTTACGATATTTAGTTTTTATTGACACTATTGCTGAGAAACCTGACTCACAAAGGTACGTAGTAGCAAACGAAATTAATATGGACATTAATTGTTTAACAAGAAGAGGGTAAGCTTGTTCTAAACTGCACCAAAAATTACAAACATCCTTTGGATGAAAATCAGCTTGCAATACTTCTTTGGATCGCATGTCTATTAAATCATCTTTAATAAGATCTTCATCATTGATATCAATCGTAAATGGGCTACGCACCCAAGTCTCCTGATCAAGGCTTTTAGGGCAAAAGTACCCTTCAAACGAGTTCTGTAGCATTTTAAGATGTTCTGAGACTTCCTTTTGTATTTCTTTATTTAAACTTCTTGACAATTGCATTTCACTTTGCCACAGCAGTACTTCCAACATACAATAATTTGCAATAACACCTACATCCATTCTTCCTTTCCAAGGTGGCAGCTTACCAAGAAAAGCTTTTAGTTTTTTATTTGCATCCACGATTGTGACAGCAGGACCCTGAAAAGAGGTTTATTTCATTCAAATAACTAAAAATATCGGCTAAATAAGCTAGTCCTTGCAAAAAGTTTTCACTCTCCAGAATTTAATACAATGCACTTTCTTGATCTTTCAGAAATATCGAGACTTCTACACGTAACTCAAATAAGCGCTTCAAAACTTGTCCTCTTGATAACCAGCAAACTTCTGTATAATACAGCAGTACTTCCTGGTCAGATCCCATTTCTTGAAAAAGTTTCTTAAACAGCTGGGGATTCAAAGCTCTGGCTCTTATGAAGTTAATTATTTTGATACACGTGGCCATAACTTCTTTCAAGAAAGTAGGCAAAGTTCATGATGCCAATGCATGTCAGTGTAAGAAGCAATGACTTATTGTGACATTAGAAATCTCTTTCTTGACCAATACTGCATAACCAGAAGTGTTATCAAGCATTGCAGGTGTTGCATCTGTACACAAACTGCCAAACTTATTTATCCAATCAATGCTGTGTTTTGTAAAAAAACTTTTTATCAATCTTAAAACATTTTGTGCTTTTGTTGTTCCCAAATGTAATTTGCAAAACAAAAACTCTTCTTTCATACTTTGTGTTTCTACATGTACATAATGTACAAATACCATGAGCTGGCTACACTGTGATCTGTGCTCTTGTACAGTTGCATGCTGAATGGAAATGGTGAAGAGTTAAGTTCATTAATGACCAGTTGCAAAACGTTGGGAGACATTTAAACAATTCTAGACTGGATGGCATCATTTGAAAAAGACACCACTTCAACTTTCTTTCTTTGATCTCTACCACACACGAGTTCTACTGTGTTTAGTAAACAGGGCTTTAGAAGAGTTTCTGAACAATGCTGCTAAACATGGCTTTAGAACACTTTCGAACAATACTGCTAAACATGGTTTTTATGTTAAAGTAAAACCTAGTTTGGGTAAAGTTCCGGTCTGCTCAAATTGAGGTTTTTTGGCCCAAAAAACATCAACATTATCAAATGCATTTCCTGGGTAGACATATTTAAGATGTTCTGACAATTTTGACAGCTTCATACTGCCATTAGCAAGCACTTTATCACATAAAAAGCGCTGTGGTTTTTGTGTTCCATCTATCAATTAGAAATATAAAAATTTAGCTGTTCAAAAATGAAAATTCCACCCCGTATTTTTTCTAAATCTGTGCCTACTACATGGACTTCCTGAATGAATGCATATTGGACCCCCTGAAGGCATGTATTCTGTTAGAGAAACAAAGTTTTTTTTAACGGAATGCATGCCTTCATATTTAATATTTCTAACATTCAAATGCAAAATTCCATTAGAGAAACTTTATTTAAACAATTTTTTTACCTTTAGATACCACAAATAGATTCAAATTCTTATACACTTTAAAGTAATTAATCAAGAATGAACTAAAAAGATGAAAATAAAGACACTAAATTAGAAAATCTTGCTCTGGTCTTTCTAAAAGACATTTCCTCCATTATATTGAAAACAATTTTGCCACATTATCAACTCCTAAAAGATATTGTCCAATCAGCACAGAAATCAGATAAAGTATCCCAACTATTTAAGACAAGAAACTCCAGTGAAGTAATTATTGTCTAATCTCTGTTTTACATTCACTTACCAAATTCTTGGGTTAACTTAACATAAGGATTACCTTAAAATATTCAATTTTTTATTGATAATGTTTAAAAGAAAATGTTTGTCAATTTATTAAAGATCATTGACACAGTTGGCCATCCTTCTACAGAAGTTATTTTTGTATTTTATTGTGATAGCCACTACAGTTTAGAAAACTACTTTATTGCAGTTAAAACCCTCTTTCAACTCTTTACCTAAGAAACACGAACTTTGATGAACAAGGCTACTGTGTAGAGAAACAAGTTAAGGGCGATACTGCCAGGGATGTGGTGGGGATTAAACTCTGAACTTCTCACTTAAGAAGCAAGCACTTTACCACTGCACTACAACTAAATTAAAATCAAAACCAGATCAAAAAGAATACAAATAAAACAAAACGCTCCACAAAACTCAGACCACTGTTTTTGATATTTTATATTAAATTTGCATTAAACTTTTAAATGCAATCATCTTTGTTGATGGCGTTATGTTTTTTGTTGACAAGTCATATAGTCAAAAAAAAGAGACTCAATGAAGAATTAAAAACAGTTAATGAGCTTTATATGAAAATAATCTTGTTATTTTCAACATAGGGAAAAAATAAATATTTGGAACAGAAACAAAAATGAAACGCTAACAACAAATAAGAAACAACAACTATAATGCTACCGATTTTAAGATTTCTTTATATTTACAAATTTTCTCTATACTTTTTTTTTTTGTTGATCTTTTGTAAACACATATTGATTTTATTCGATTGTAAACACATATTGATCAGCAGAAATCGGAGTAGTAGAGGCAATTTTAAAATTATTATTATATTAAAAATTATTATTATTAAAAATTATAAAATATTATAGCGTCTGTATGATATTTTGTTGATTACAACATATTTCCATTAAATAATTAGGTTTGTGAATTATGAAAAGACGAAAAAAATTAAAATGATAAATTTTGCAGTATCATAAAATGTAAATGTTTGTAGCGAAAAAACCCAGACAGAGGATTCTTTTTTTTTTTTAAATCTTCTTAAAATCACAATCCAAAATTTGAATAAGATTTTAAATAAATACATTTTTTAGGTGAAATAAATAGCATAGTTTAATAATATGATCTATTTTGATCGTTTATTGGCAATTTTTCTTAATTATAAGCTCTTTCTTAGTCGGAATTCTAGTATTCTTTGTAAAAAATGATAAAAATATTGTATTTTGACAACTATATATAGTTAGTATACATCCGAACCAATTAGAACTAGGATCTATAGTGGGTTAAGGCACTTTTTCAAAAGATTTCAACTAAGTTCATGTTAACGCCAGTGAGCAAAATTGATCTAAAGACTCTAAAATGATGTTCTTTAAATTCACTATTAGGGGAAGTATAAAGGTTTTGAAAATTATATATATAAAAAAAGAAAAGTTTCTGTAAATATTAAAAAAACCTAAAGCAAAAAAAAAACTATACCATATAAAGCTCTTGTTTGGACATAATATGCTGATAAAATCATGCTAATTTCAAATAAAAGAATTTGAATAATTTGTAAACCCCCTTAACTACACCAAGTAGTACTTTATATTGAAATATTATATCCTGTATAAACTTTCTTAATAATAACAATATTAATAAAAACTTTCAACTCCCTTAGTTTACAACTGATTTTTTAACCATAATAAAAAAAAGGTTCTATCATGCATTATATAGAAGCAGTGAAAAAAGGGCTTTGCTCTTGGTATACAAAAAACTTTTGATAAAACCTGGCATGTTGGTCTTCTCAATAATTTTTTTGATATGATGTATCTAGGAAAGTTTAAAAATTTATTGATTCATTACTTTCTAATTGCAAAATTATAGTCATCTTTAATATTGTGAATTTTGGAATTAGTCTTTGATGAACAACAATTTTTTTCCTGTAGCCTCAAAGATATCGCAATGTTCCAACCCTGGTCCTATGCTAGAACCAAAGCAAAACTCAGTAAATATAAAAGTTTATGATTACATTGATTTCAACACTATCAGCATAATTTGTTTGATTTTTGTATAACTACAATAATCTCTTAAATTAAACTAGCAAGCGAATGACACAGTTTCATAAGCCACAACTGTATATGCTACTATGCCATAATCGCTAGTCAAAATAATTACAAAAGGGGCCTTCCATAAAGGACGTCACTATTTTTTGACCCTTCCCCCCCTTTGTCACTGGTTGTTCTTTTTCCCTATACCCCCCTGGAAAAGGACGTCACAAAATCCTGACCCCCTCCCTATTTTTAACTCCAAAAAAATTTATTTCATCTTGCAATGATGTTTGAATCTGTTGCTACACCTTTGAAAAATAAAATTAAAAATACTCTCATACATTATCTTCTCAAAAACACATGTTTACGTAGTTTTCCATGTTAATTAAACTAAAATGAAAAATCTATAAAGTGACGTCCTTTTCTGACAACCTCCCCCCTCCCCTTGTCCTTTTTAAATCGACCCCCCCCCCCTTCCTATTTGGATGACATCCTTTATGGATGGCCCCAAAAGAAATGAATGCAAACAAATTGTAAAAAATAGTTAATAAACTTTCAAGTCTTTTCACTTACGTTTTAGCAGCTGTGAGACATTTCCATCTTCAGTCCACAACCTAATACAAGAATCTGCAGACAATGATATAAAACCACGATCAGGGACGGTTTGCAACTAAAGAAAAAAAAAAACACTTCTTTTGTTACATTTGATTGAAAAATTTTGAACTTGCATAATTTAGTTTTTTTTAATTTTAAAATCTTTTCAGTTTTCATTTTTTACATTTTCATTGTTTATGATAATACTCAAAAATGACTTGGTATGGTAACACAAAAATGGTTCAAATTGGCTTCCAAAATGAGGCCAAAAAGGCTAAAAATTTAAAATGGTAAGAAACTTTTCATGCACAACAGCAACTACCAAGCGTAAATCTCTACCAAATTCATGTCCAACCCATAAGAGGAGACTACAACTACGACAACTTATGGTTAATCAATTAGAACAATCTTGAACAAAAGGGGTGAAAAGAAACAACTACGGAAACTGTCAACATTAAGATTAAACTTAGATATTGGTTTTAACTATAAGTAATTGGGTTCACAGATGATTTTATACTGTAGCATTGAGGAGTTACACAATTCCAGATGGACTGAAGGGAGTAGTGAAAGCACTACTCCCTTCAGTCCATCTGGAATTAAAGCACATTTCTAATCTCAATGTAATAACACACACATTAGTTAAACATTTTTTCTATTGCTACATAAGTAGATACCTGGTTTGGTGAGGGCAATCAGCATTGTTTGCAGGCTTTTTTGATATTTAGATAAAAAGCTCATAGAGAAAATAAAATAAATATGATAACTAATTAGGTTTTAGTAATAGTTTTGTTAGCTAGACAGTAGTTTTTTGTATCATATAATAAATCATCAGAGATTCGCCAGCAATTTTCTGATATGTATTCATTCAAGCATCATAACGTTTGCTAGAAAGAATGTTAAAAAGAACATTGCATTCGAAAAAAATTTTTAAACTCTATTTTAGTATATATTTAAATATATATTATTTAGTTTTGCTTTTCTTCCTATTTTCATATATAAAAAGTTCATTCATTACTCTTCTTTTTGTGATTTTTTTTTTCCTAATTTAAAAATTGCACTGAGAGCAAGTAATTATAGGAAAAGCATTTTCTTATTAAAACCTGAATGAATGAGTTAGACTTATGTTATATAAAATTGTTTTTATGTTACATAATTCAGATTTAACTAACAAATTCATAGAAAATTTTATAAAAAAGTAATTTTTTTTATGTTAATAAATAAGCATGTAACTATTATTTTCTACTAAGTCATAATTTACATAATAAGTTAAAAATGCAACTATAAAAATATTGTGTATTTAAAACTTCTTTTATTTTTAGAATAAATAGCATAGGTTATATTTAATATTTAAAAAGTTGAAAATATTTAACTAAAAATTTAAATAAAAACAATTAAATTTCTTTGTTATTGTTTTTTCATACAGTGTTCTTAATATGGTTTTGAATGAAATTCTTGGTCATTTGAACTTATTGAGTTTATTTAAAAATGTCAAATGACCAGTCTATATCAAAATATTAAAAAAAAATCTTTAAAAACCTTATAGATGCTCACAAAAACATAATAATGATAAACATTTTTTTTTTGCTTTTTTTTTAATTTTGCGCTAGATGTTTTTTACTATTTTTTTTTATGCAAGTAAAATACAACTCAACCTAAAAACATTAATAAATTTTGCTATTTAAAAAATAACTGTATTTTTCACAGGGTTTTTTTGCTCATGTAAACTGACACATGTGTGGAGGCAGGCATGGCATTTGCCCACCATTCCTGCTGAGCCAGCCTATATATATATATATATATATATATATATATATATATATATATATATATATATATATATATATATATATATATATATATATATATATATATATATATATATATATATACATATATATATATATATATATATATATATATATATATATATATATATATATATATATATATATATATATATATATATATATATAGAGAGAGAGAGAGAGAGATATATATATATGTATATATATATATATATTCATTTCGAAACAGAATTGTTATTTTTGGTTTTATTACATAAAAAATTGTGTTTTTTAAGAAAAAAAAAAAAAAATGCATTTCTAATGTTTTTTTATGACAATTTTGATAAATAAGTTGAAAATATTTTGAAATGAATATTATTTTTGAAATATTTATATAATTTTGCTTCATTTGAGTACCAGGTTGACATATTTTTGAAAAACTTTTTTTTCGAAAATATTAGGGACCCATTAAATATTTGAGGGTCTTGAGGGACCCCTTAAAATATTTTTTATTCAAAAAAAATTTAAACCTAGTGTTTTTGTATTAGATAGAACACATTTAGGGGGTGAGAGCAGATTATTTTCAAAAATGTTGTTTTTTGGGACACCTTAGTACATAAGCAATGTGTTTGGCTCAATTCTAATTGTGTATCTTACAAATCAGAAATATGAAATGTGTGCTGCAGAATATAGGATACTACCAACATCAGTGGTTGATTTGTGTAAAAATGAAGACGTTGAATAATTTACTTGAACAGCTGTGTGGATACACATAAAACCCATGTGATCTGTTTATAGGATAGTCAAGCCAAGCATCAACGTTGAATAAAAAATGATCAATATATTCAAGATAATCAAACAATGTCTCATAACATTGTTGCAGAAGCACTCCTTAATAAAGTTTCTGCCCCCTGTAAAAACATTAAATAAGATTATTGCTCTCTTCGATGATAAATATGAAAAAATTTCAAAATATGAAAAAATTTCATGGACTAAACATGTAAAAGTACAAAGCAAGCATTTTTGATGATCCTCAAATAAACTTATTACAAACGTTAATTTTGCCAATTCAATAACTGAGATTGCATAAACTGCCAGATTCCCTTTTGTATCTGGTAAGGAAATATTTTTGGACAAATAAAAATCTGACAATTTTAAAAACATAGTTTTTAAAACAAGCTATTGAGTTTTAGAGCTATTAAAACTAAACATCAAGCTGCACTTTCTTTACAGACATTTAGATTGCAACAAATAAAGTAAGCATTTACATTAGAACATTAAAATCATGTAAAAAAGATTGAACAAACAGTTCACAAAATTTATTTTTAAACAGCATTAATACATCTTATTTATTAAAATTAGGATATCAAGACAGATAGGAAACAAAAATAATGACTAAATAATGTGGGACAATGTCATGTGATTGTAAAGTCCAGGCACTAAAGAATAACTGGATGAGATAAATTTTTACTGAGCCATTAATAATTTAAACTTTATAGCCAATTTTATAGTTAAACAATATTTTAAAGTAATAACTAAAATTAGTCAGAAGTATTTTTTTGAAACATTCATACCTAGGATAAACATAGCAAGAAAACTAAACCTGGGTCATAAAATCTTATGTTACTTTCAAATTGCAGTATCTGATACTATAAACACCAGAAAAAATAGTTTTATACTTATCAGGTAAAAATAAACAACCTGTGTAACTTCTGTGTCAAAAACACGTGGTGGTTTTCGAAGAATTCCACATCTAATGTCAACAACTGATACTAATCCATTGCTAAAACCTGCTGCAATCCAACGACTGCTCACGCACATACAACGAACTGTACCTGAACAATAAAATTGTTAAAAAATAATAAAAAAATAAAAGCTTCAAAGGTTCTGCTGTTACAAAAATAAAAATGATAAAACAATTAATGTCTTAATGTTATAGATTTAAATTTGTATTTAAAAAATTCTTTTTTAATTTATAGATTCTAATTAGGTTTCCAAAATAATAAAGAAAACTTTATTTTTACACAAAAAGGTGTGTTTTATATGTAAAAAAATACATTTTATATTATATGTACGTTTTTATAAAAACTTTCTTTAGAATACAAGTTTTAACTACTAAAAAAATATCATCATAAGAGACTTTACACAAACAAAAAGTGTAAAGTATAAACAAAGAGTTTACACAAACGAAAAGTGTTAAGTGTAAACAAAGAGTTTACACAAACGAAAAGCGTTAAATATAAACAAAGAGTTTACACAAACGAAAAGTGTTAAGTATAAACAAAGACTTTACACAAACAAAAAGTGTTAAGTATAAACAAAGACTTTACACAAATGAAAAGTGTTAAGTATAAACAAAGACTTTACACAAATGAAAAGTGTTAAGTATAAACAAAGACTTTACACACACAAAAAGTGTTAAGTATAAACGAAGAGACATTACACAAACAAAAAGTATTAGTTACAAAGTCTCAAAAAGATTTAACAGAAGCCTTGCAAAACTGTAAACTCTATGAGTCAGAAAAAATGAAAACAAGAGAGAATTCCAAAGCATTGATGTGTAAGGCAAAAAACTAGACAAAAGTTTTTTGAGCTTTAAAGAACAGTAAAAATACATGGATGCAACATAGCTGAATAAAAAATCATTAATAAAACAAGAGATAATAGGTTGCTGAAGAGATCTTAATTAAATAAAAAATGAGGGTTGAAGTGAAAGAAATGAAGAATGAGCGTTAAAATACATCAACAAGATTAAACATCATTTTAGGAGCTCTAAATTTTATTAGTAAAAATATTACCTCATCATAAATTAATCAAATGATGAGGCTCAAGTTTGGCAGCTAGAGCAGATCTTACTACATTTACAATGCATTTTTGGATGCCATAAAGAGAAGAAGCATCATTAAAAGTACAAATATGACACCAGTACTCCATACAAAAAAAAAAAAAAGATTTATAGAGGTAGAGAGTGTAGTCAAGAGTAACCTCTGTAACTTAGTGATAAATAGTATTTTTTGGCAATTTTTACTGTATACTTTACTATTTTTTCACCAATTATTTAATTTTAACTAAGTAAATAGTAGATACCCATATCGTCAGGATCATAGCAAAATTGTCTAAATCATTTTTTGGGGGTTTTGAGTTGAAATGTATTACACAGCTTACACAGTCTTCTATTATGTGGCAAATCGCCTATGTCTTAAACCAATCAGAAAACAGTTTATTTTTAATTTTTTCATTTCTGCCTAAATCCACATTTTGACTTAGGCGACTTGTTTTCTTCAACATGACTACTCATACCACGCCGCTTTTCTTCAGTGATTCATACCATGCCACTTTTCTTCAGTGATTCATACCACCCCGCTTTTCTTCAGTGATTCATACCACCCCGCTTTTCTTCAGTGATTCATACCACCCCGCTTTTCTTCAGTGACTCAGAAGTCAGAAGAATATTGGATGAAAGTAAGAATGTTTTAAAATATTGATTAAAAAAATACCGAAAAAGAAATACCAAAGTTATTTAATTTTTATTTAGTTTTCTCAAAACAAGAAAAAATGACTTGGGCAATTGTGCTATGATAGTGATGATATGCTTCTTAAAAATATTAAAGCACAAATAATCAAACCATTGCTGTGCACAGTCGGATAATTATTATCAAAATAATTATAAGTTCTATTTTTTTTTTATCTCAATTTGCATGAAACAAAAGTTGTTACATAAGATGATCTTCCTTTGGCATTGCTAAACAAACTGATAACGGATTGTTTAAAAAATAACTCAATATTGTTTAAAAAATAACTCAATGCTTTTCCTTAGCCATCAGTGGTTTTTGTCTTATTTCAAAACTCCACATCCTATTATTGCAAAAACCAGCACTATTTTTACTGAAATTTTGGTTTTAGGTTTGGTAAAAAAAAACATTGGTTTTGGTTTACTATTGAAATAGTATACCCAAAATTTAGTTAATTTTAGTTTCTGCATATTTCCTGCATTGATCAACCACATATAAGTGAATGAAACATATCAAATTAGTCAAAACTTATCATATGTAACATATCAAATTAATCATAACTTACCAGCATTAGGTTGTGTTGAAAGCTTCCAACATTGAGCAACCTTTTTTTGACGAACATCATACAATCTAAAATAAAGAAAATTATGAAAATTTATTTTTTAAATTAAATTTTATTAAATAATAACAACATTAATAAAAAACAATTTACAATTTTAATTTTAATTCACAAATTTAAATTTGTGTAAAAAAATTCTTTACTTACATGTCCACTATAATTATATATGTAAACAGTTCTAACATTTTTATGAATAAATGTTTAAACTAAAACATATTTAAAAAATACAAATCTTGTTTAAAACATGAAATAAAATAATTTTGCAATATGTTACAAATTTTTTAAAAGAAATACATTTATGAAATTGAGCAACAAAGTAAATTAAAAAAAAAACTTATCAAAAAACACATGTATTGATAAGTTTTTTTTTAAATTGAATATATATATATAAAACACAGCTATATCTATATATTGTATAGATGTAGTTGTGATTTGAGTCTTTATCTTATTTAAAAAACCCAACCAAATGAAATAGAAATACTTTTTGGACTTTTTTTCCATAAAATTTTAAAATAATTTGAGATATAAACAGCTTAAATCAGGAAACCGCGTTAGACTGGCTGGGGCTAGAGAAACAGCTCTTGTATTAAAATATTAATTCGGGTACATGAATTAACAAATTTACATTTTGTACGCCATTTTTCAAGTTATTGACTATTTTTTTATTAGTTATTGCTTTAAACAAAATAAAACCAAAAAAAAAAAAAGTGAAAAAAAAAGGATGCAGTCCATATAGCATTTTAAAAAAAGAAGAAAATGTTTTGTTTAACTGAATATTTATGACTAAGGATCATACTTTTTTACTTCTGAACTTTTACAGATCTATATACACCAAACATAAAAGTCTAATAGAATGCAAATATTTTATCATTATTTAATTATCCATTATATAGATGAGACAAAAGTTAGCTATGAGACAAAAGTTGCTCTTGACATTTCAATGGCTTTTAATAAAGTTTGGCATGCTCATCTACTTTATAAGTTTTTAAAGTTATTGAGTTATTCATTTCTAACTGCTGTATTGAAGGCTTCCTTGATAGACAAAATTTATCTATATTTCCAACAATTTTTGGGGTTCCACCTGATTTCATTTTTGTTCCTATTTTGTTTCTCATCTATATTAACAATTTGAGGTTGGCAATTTTTGCCAACCTCAAACACTTTAACGTCGGCAGTTAGGTCAGCATTTATTTCGAGGGTTGATTTACTAATGACAAAACTATAAACTCAATTCTTTACTAATGAAAAACTATATACTTAATTCTTTACAAAAAATTATCATTTTTTTTGGACTGCCTAAAACTGCCAGCTAATCTCTTAAATATGATCTCTCTTCTCTTCTGGAATTACATTACCTGGCAAATTTAAATCAAAACTCAGTTGTTTACTGTTAATAATTAAATCAATACTGTTGATGTTTCTATAATAATGAATGGCAACACTCTCACTAAGTCTATATTTACAGTTTGTTTATAACTGTAGTGAAATAAAATACCCCTACATTGATAGGAAGAGATTAGTTGCACAACATTAATAGGAAGAGATTAGCATATTAAGTTGAAGATGAATGATCTTACAGTAAAAAGGTGTCAAACAATATTCATGAAACTATCGTTGCGGTCCAATGTCTTGTGCCACAGGACATCTACTATTTTTTGTTTATACAGAAAAAAATTATCTATTTAAGCTAACTTGGGCATTTTACTAGGTTCAATTGGTAATATTATAGTAGGTTTTCAACTTAGTGATTTCTCAGTAACATTTTTAATTGTCTTACTTATACTCTAAGAAAGTTTCAATAAAAATTTATTTACAAATGGCAAGGAAACATTATACAACTGATGAAGTATTGAAGGATTAAATATAACAAATATAAACAAGTACTGAAAGCGACAGTGAATACACTTTTAGTAAATCTGAGACTGAAATCTCAGAGATATCAGAGTCAGAAGATATTAAATTTATTCAGAGTCAGACAAAGATATTGAAATTGATGATAAAAATCGACCTGCTTTGAACATACGATGGACTAAAGTAATGCAAGATACTCCATCATTTGAAGCCATTTACAGTAGCAAATGTAGGCCCTCAGCATTCAATAAACATAACACATGAACTAGATTTTTTTAAATTGTTTTTCAGCAGTTTTCTCTAGAACTTGGTTTCTTAAGATACATTGGATGCTACTCGATCTCCACCATCTGGATCTCCACCATCACCACTGGATCTCCACCATCAAATCCATCTAATGAACTGTATAGACGTGCAAAAAAAGTGCATTTTGTTGTATCAGAAATAAAAAGTTCTTGTTCTGGAAATTTTGTTCCATCTTGTAACATTACAATTAATGAAAGTATTATTGTATTCAAAGGTAGAGTTGCATTTTGCATGTAAAACCCAAAAAAATTTAAAAAGTTGAACTGTATTGATTTGTGTGATGAGCTTTTAGAGGCTGCCCAAAGTAGTTAACACTTATTTAATAACAGATTATATACTAGTTTTTCTCTTGCACAAGAGCTCCTTAAAATGAACATACAAACTAGAGACAATAATGAAAATTAGAAAACAGTTACTTGAAGATATAAAAAAAAAAACTCAAATTAAAGAAGCACTTAAGTTTCTGCATATGTAAACTCCTCCAGTGTTATGGTTTTGGCATGGCAGGACAGGCAACAGGTTCTGATACTGAGTACTTTCCATGATTGAACAACTGAAGTTGCAAAACAAAGAACAAAACAAGGTATTGTAGATATTGATAAACCAACTGTTATTGTAAATTATTTCAAATATATGATAACTGTTGACCGAGCTGATCACTATTGTTCTAGCTATTCATTTCTACACAAGTCTTTAAAATCGTGGAGAAAAATATTTTTCTGTTTGTTGGAAATTGCAGTTGTAGACAGTTATATATTGTTCAATAAATTTTGTGAAAGCAATTGTAATAACAAACTTCGACACCTCACCTACAGACAAAACCTCATTGAGAAATTAGTTGAAGCATGTCATAACATTCAAGAACGAAGAGGAAAGCGATCATCATTAGATGACAATGAACGCCTCAGCCAAAAGCCACATTTTATTGCACAAGTTCCAAGTAATAATGCCAAAGACTGTCTAATCTTCAGTGACAGTAAAACACAGGGTGGTAAAAGAAAAACTGTATACTATTGTAAAACCTGCACTAGAAAACCAGGACTACACCTTACTGATTGAACTTTATCATACAAAGACTGACTTTCCTATAAAATAGGGTATCCAAAGACAATATAGTAATTTACTTGTGAATAAAAACAAGAGTTTACATATTTTTGTTTTTTCTTTCTTGTTTAGTGCTTGCATTTAGGTCAAAATGCTTTTGGCAGTACAAAAATTAAACAATTTGGTGCTACACTCAAACCTATTTTTTATGACAAATAAAGAGAAGCCATGGGTCAAACATATTTTTTCTGTTATATTTAAGGTCAATAAGTAAAAAAAAATAATTTAGACCTGATAGGCCAAAAAAATTTTTTTTTTATAAAGACCTCAAAGGGTTATGAAGCATGACTTTAGATTATTGGCTTCAGAATATTTTGTGTTTGGAAAAAAAATACAGATATTACAAAATAAAGATATTGCATCCAGTGTTTACAACATAGTAAAGTGTCTATCTAACGGGTAAACAAATTTTATATATTGACCAGCCTCACACCACTTCTTCATCTATTAGGCTGGTGTAGATGTATTTATAATACATTGTTTCCATTTTAGGATGTTGAATGCTGGATTTTCTTGACTCAATGCGTGGGTTTTGCTTGTGTCTCTATTTTTATGACTAGGTAACTCATTCTATTATCTCCTAATAAGGGTACAGTTCTAAAACTCAGTTTTATGGTTCTGAGGCAGGCTGGTAGTCAATTTTCCAAAACTCTGTGATAGCTCTCAGAGCTTATTTCATCAAAAGCTGTAAAATAACAGAGTACTAACAGTTCCATGTTGCCCATAGATAGTGACCCTGTTCATGGTTTTGTTGTGCATTGACAAGGCCACATTTGGAACCCATTGCTACAGCTTAGGGTTTATAATTACTAATAAGGCAATTGCTTGGACTATTAAATAGTGTACTGAGTACTATCTATATTTTGAATCAAATACTTTAACAAATTTAAAAATGACTAATATACCAAAAACTATAAAACATAAAAAACCATCGTCGTCACCAAATTCCATATCTATCAGCAAAACAATTCTCTAGAAAACAGACGTCTGTTTACTTTTGCTAGAAACCATTGTAAAAAGGTTTTGTCTAACACCAAAGCCTACTATTCTCAGGTCACGAAATCTCATATTATATTTAAAAAACTAATCTCTTGATTCCACTAGTTGCATTCTATCTAATTTAGCTGATATACAGGTTGATCCATTGCCTAATATTTATATCACTCCAGCTTCTCTTTAACTCCAACCTCTTATCTTGAATCTAATAACTTATTTTTATTGTGCATTAGATAGATGTGGAGGCTATTGCTTTCGAGATTTCTTAAGCTTTTGATAAGGTTTGGCATTCTAGTCTTCTCTATAAGCTTTCTTCTTGTGGTGTATCTTTTTTCTTGTGGTGTATCAGTATGTGGTGTATCTTTCTTTCTCTTTTTCATTTACATTAACAATCTTCCAGAAATTCTCACATCTAAGGTGGCATTGTTTGCTGATGATACTATCATCTATTCTTGTCTTGATAAGAAGTTAACACTCTTAGATTGCTTGGAGGGGACATTTGAGCTTGAAAAGGATCTCATTTCTGCTGCAGCATGGGGTTCTCAGAAGTGGCAAGCACAATAAAGAGATGAAAACTTTAACTCAGAGAAAACTTATTATAAATATTTATAAACAGTAATGTACTCGATGAGTCATCTACCCTTCATCTTCTAGGATTAACTCTTACTTCCGATCTTTCTTAGAAACCATATATTAAATCGATTGTAAAAATTAGTATCTGCTAAGGTTTCATCTCTTTATTGTGCTTGCCACTTTCTTATTATGAATTCTATTCATATATATCTCTATAAATTTCAAATCCGCCTTTGTATGAAATTGTTGCCATATCTGGGCCAGATCTTCCAACGACGCTGTTTCTTATTTAGACAAAGGGCAAAAACACATTGTAAACATAGTTGGAACTGCCTCTAACTATTAACACCTCGTCGTAATGTTGCTTCTCTTTTTCTTTTCTGTAAATACTAAAATGGGCACTGATCTAAAGAGCTAGCAACTCTTGTGCCATCTACTAAAACTCATTCTTAATCTGCAATCAATAAGTTACACTTATTGATTGCAGATTTATTACATAATTCAATAATTTATTTTTTTAATTTATAATTTTATAACTTATAATTTATTTAACTAATTCACTCTTAGCAAGGCTACAAGCAACCATTTTTCAAGTCGGGAGTTAAAGAAAATAAATAGTTAAAAACCAAGAAAACAACAGAAGGCTTAAAAGGCTCTAGATTGTATGATTCAGGAAAACATGAAGATAGAAGAGAATTCTAAAGCAATGGTGTGCAAGGAAAAAAGTTAAAATAATAAAAGATTTTAGAGAATGAAAGAACAGATACTTTTAAACACTTTGATGAACAACTACTCGTGTGAGATTGAGTTTTGGTAGATGGAAAAAAAGTGGATAACTTGTTTATCAATAGCATGACCATGTTAGTATTTGTAAAAAAGAAAGATGTAGCCTTACAACAATGGGCTCAAGCTTGGCAGATATAACATGTCTAACTACATTTACAATACATTTTTTGGACCTCGTCTAGAAGAGAAACCGCATCATTAGAAGAACCATAATCTATACAAGGAAAAAAAGGTTTATAGAAGTAGAAATCAGGAGTAAGAAAATGGTGAGCACAAAAAGAGGCAAACTTTAATCTAAAAAAAAAAAAAACTCAGTTAATTACTACTAATAATTATCATTTACCTTAGCATGCACCTTAGCAGATGCTGACTTTACAATGGATTGCATAAGGTTTTCTTAAGGAGAAGTCAATGCTTATTAGCAATAAACAACTAAGTTTTGTTTGGATTCAATAAATTCACCATTTTCAAGCCCCTAACTTTTACTGATCACACTTAAGATTGTTCTAAGCTTTAGAAAGGGGAATTTTTGATTGGAGTATATAGTTATGTTGTTAGCAAATAAGACTACACTAGATGTAATATTACATCTAAGATCAATAATAAAGAAGAGAAAAAATACAGGACTAATGATGAAACCTTGTGGCATCAGCAAAGTTACTGGAGTAATTTCAGGATGTTTTGGGTATAACCTTGTCATACTAGTCAGCAAAAGTATTTAAAAAAATAACTTTCCTGTATCTAAATAATAACTTAATATACATATAAATATAAACTTAATTGTATATATGTGTATATGTAGTCTGTGCATTTAAATTGTTAAAAAGATTCCAGTTTTAACAATAGTAATAAAATGATAATTCAAAGAATAAAGTGAGGAAAAGAAAAGTTAAAAATTAAATGTTATACTCTAACAATATAATTTAGGTAATACCCTTACAACATCATTCTAATATTTTTTTAGTATAATTTCTTTGTTACTTATAAAAGTTAAACTAATGTGATTTAAATTTTGGTTATTAAGTATTGAACATGAAATAAATAGTGAAAAATAATACATAGGTTATTGATCTTAAATGCCACATTTTTTTAATTAAAAAAAAAACTGGATAAAGTAGCAAATACCAGATAAATGTGTCTGAATAATGTAGATTGGCAATTTACTGATCAGACAAGTGAAACAAAATTTCAGCCATAACAAAATGTATATAAGCAAAAATTTTGGTGGAAACATTTAATTACATAAAAATAATATTTAACATAGATCAAACAAAGTTACTAAAAAGTCAGTTGTAAGCAACAACTTGTGTTAAGAATATGGCAGCAGGGTGATACCCAGCCTGATGGCACTGCACATACTGAAGAATTTACAATTGGTTTAAAATTCTCAAAAGGCCGAAAATTATACAATTAAATGCA